TTTTATATATTTTAAATTAATACAACATATAATCTTTTGTATCTTTCATTTCTAAATTATCTGTGACAATGGATTTTTCTTTTATAATTTTTATGTTACATTTCAAACAAAAAAAATTTATATATATGCAATTACATTAGTTGCTTAAAATTTTTCAAAAAATCCAAATATATCACTTTGACAATTTCGAAAGATTTGTATAAAACTATATAATGCATTTTTAATATTTTTGGAAGACAATTCTTACATGTATATATATAAATGTTTCATAATTTTTTATAAATAACAATGTCATTTATGTTTATTAAATTATAAAAATGGATACACAGGATGTATTATAAATAAAATAATTTACTGAATGCATACATTACTTATTGAAATAAAAACTGTAATGGTTCAAATGTTTTCATACTTGAATACTAATTTGAAACTTTTCTTGTAAAATTAATTAATGTTAATTAAAATTAAAAAATTTGGTCCAATATAAGCATAATCCTTATAAAATTTAGTTGCCATCTATTTTCATCATTAATATGAATATTTTAAATCATAATAATAAATAAATCATACAATAAATATATCTGTATTATTAGTACTTTTGTTATAATTTTAGAACATGTTTATCAGTATCAATTAATTTTAAACTTGAAATTAAAGAAAAGGGGCTACGAAAAATTTGAAGATTGTATTATTTACTCATACATATAATAGATTATCTTGAATATTTCTTTCTTTATATTTTTTATATATTTTATCCTTTTCTTACATGTTCAATTAAATTTATATTTTATATCTAATTAATTGCAAAAAAATACATTTAATCTGAACATTTATATCAATTGTTGTGATTTGTACAGTTCCAAGAATAAGGTTTCATAAGCATATTTAATAAATATCAATTAAAATCGAATAAATGAATAACATTTCTATAAAATTGCAAGAAATTGCAGTTTTATGATTAAAATGAATCTTATAGATTTAAACAAACTATAAGATCAACACTTTTTGATTAGTGATAAACATCAATGAATGTAAGAAATAAAAAAGTTGTAGGTACTCCTATCAATTATCATCTTTCCTGAATTTTGTTTTAAAAAAAAGGTAATAAAAATATCTTTGGTGCTCCTATTTCATGTAATAAAAAGAATATAATTTTAGAAAAGAGAAAAAAAACAGAAGTATGAGGGAGCATATTTATAACAAAGATTAAAAATTATAAGACAAAAAAAGTCCTGTCCACTGTTGTAAAAGTTTATCTTCTAGTAGATTTTCTTCTACCTGTTGATCGTTTTGGACGACGACTGTTTGATCGTGACATATTTGACCAAGGTAAAGAAAATTCACTGTAATTAAAAATAATGGAATAAATTAGTACAAAATATAATTAATAATATATTTTTATTTACCTTGGCGTAAAACTAGGAATAGGAGCACCAAATGCAGTAACAGGTAACTGGGAATCCACTTGAAGACTTTGTATTTGTTCTATATCAGGCCATAGCGATGATACAGTTTCTTCTTCAACAGTAGATGGACAAGGTCCAGTATGATTTGTATTATAACATGTTGCTTGATGATTTTGTCTTTCTTGTCTTTGTTTTAATTTTTCAATGTGTCTCTGTTCTCTAAAAATAAAAATCCACATATATGTATTAAAATTAACTTAATCATAACTGTAATATAAATTTAACTAAAATATAAAATAGTTGAAAAAAAATATTTTTACTATATTTTATTTTTTTTTATTTTAATAATACAATACAAACCTTATCCTTTGTACATCCCATCTTTTCCTTCTTCTTTCATCATTTTCTAATTTTAAATGTCTTTTATTAAAAATTTCATCATCCAGATTTTCAGTTCCTTCCATTGTGTAACAGCTTGTATATATTTTTACCCTCCAATTTGGAACTTCTAGTGAGGTATCACTTTCAACTAAATTAGGTTCCTTTAAACTTAATGTATAATTAATATCTCCAACAGCTGTATAATAATGTTCTTCTGTAGTAAGAAAAGATTCTTTTTTTGTTAATGGTTTTCCTTTCCTATCACTTTTTCTGTTGCTTTCTTGAAGTAATGTCTTATCTTGTACCGTGGAAGATGTATCATTACTAATTGTAGATGAACATGAAATACCTCTTTTTCTTTTACTTCCACTAGATAATGATGCTGAATCTGTTCTCCTTTTCTTTTTCTCTTCCCACTCTAATCTAATATCATTACCAGTTTCTATTTTTGTTTCATGTTTACTTTGATTATCATTTGGTTCCTGTTTGACAGTAGTAATACCACCACTAGTATTTAAACGTATTTTAAAGCTTTCATTGTATTGAGAATTATTGTTCTCAGATTGAATATTCCTGTGAAGTTCACTAGTTGATGGCACATTCACAGAATTAATAGTTGGAGAAGAACATGTTCCTATGTGTTCTGATACAATAGAATTTTCATTGTTTTCTGATCTAAGTTTTTGTAAATTTACACGTCTATCCATACGTTCCAAACGCAATTTAAGCTATAACATAAATACATATTTGTTAATAAATCTTCCTTAAATTTAATTTTAAGGAATTTATTTATAGAAATAATTTTATGTATAATTTTACAATATTAATATTGATATTTATTTTTAAAATTATAAAGTATAATAAATTTAAATATTTATAATGATATGAGAATATAAAAATTATTAATTAATAATAATAACAAATATTTCATTGATCTGAAAATATAATTAAGATTATAAATTAATTTAAATATATGAAAAAAATAAAATTAATTTTTTTCGTTATTTCATTTACAAATACAAATACAAATACAAAAAAATAAATAATCAGATAAATTACGCAGTATTTGTTTAAATATTTTTATTTACTGTCAACAAACGATAGGTCAGTCGAGTTTTAATTTCCTCTCGAATTCCAGGCATTATCATTTTAATAATTAATCACATATATACAGATAAATATCACAAAATTGTAACAATATTAATATTATCAATAATAATTTATCGCGAAATTTCATTGATTTTTTGAAAAAATTTGTTTATTTAAAAATTTTTCATTTTTCACTGTAAGAATACCATCATCACAAAGGCAGATTGCGCGCGAGAAATGAGCAGAAGGTATAATGTGCTCGTTATTTCGAAGTTACGGTTCTATACAAAACAGCGCCATCATACGGTAACGTTATATCTGACCTTCACGTTTGACTGACCAATGAAAGAAGGAGGAATAAAAACCGGGAAAACAGAGTTGAAAGAAAGGGAAGGGCAAAGATATTGACACACAGGTATAAACGCGGGTATTTTAGAATGCATCTCATTCACAAATCTTACACAGTAAATAAATAAAATTAATATGAAACAAATGAAAAATTACGAACACTCAAATGCGAAATCACAAAAAGAAAAGAAAAGTACCGTTTCATTTTCCTGTCGCAAAGCTGCTAAGAGTTTATCCTTGGTGACAATTTGCTCAGATTGTTGTTGAATCAAATCGAGATGAAGAAGTAAGAGCTCCTTAAGATGTTTGACTTCTGTGAGATCGTTTTGACGTGGTTCATTACCTCGAAGAGGACTGACACCAAGAGCAGAGGTAGCAGTAGCTGCTGCCGGAGCTCCACTGTCTGTCATGCTGGCGTACATGTGATCAAAATCACAGGGAAAACTAAGTATTCCAGCGGCTGGTTTACCATCCTCGTCAACGTTTTGGAATTCATTGCGGGAGCAATTGTTATTCTGGTTAACAACAGAATTAACAGTGGTAGTGGTCGTCGAGACTGTGTTACTTCGAACGCCGCTAGTCGCCGACGTGGTAGACAAGTGTTCGTTCATCGCCGCGACCATGTTGTCGTCGTCCTCCTCGTTATCTTCTTCCTCGTCTTCTTCGTAATAAGGAGTAGGAACGGTTGTAGTCGTTCGATCGTCGTGCTCAATGATGGTAATGGTGGTGGTAGTAGTAGTGGTGGTAGTGGTAGTAGTGGTGAGATTGACGATTGGCGTCTCAATACACGTTCTTGTGTACGAATCTTGAAATTCAATTTCGTTGTATTCCGTTCTCGAATTCACATCTTTTTCATTGCGTATATCTTCATGATTCTCAGGTGTCTTGAGATCGGAATTAACGTCGTAAAATTCCACGCCGACGACGCCCTCGGCGGTCAAGCCGGTAACACAGACACCGCTATTACTACCACTGTCACCGTTATCACTACTGGTGGAACAACCACTACCACCATTACCACAGCCACTACCACTACCGCTGTCACTAGTAATACTAGATCCAGTAGTACCAGCGTCGACAATAGTAACAATAGTAGTAGCGTTACTAGTACCATCAGCAAGAGCAACTATGGAAGAGCCAGTGCTGCCAGCAGCGCCGCTCTCGTTTTCTTTCCTGTTCCCGTACTCGTACCCGTGAACGTTCTCCTTCTTATTCTCACCGTTCACGAGTTTCGAGGCCGAGCCACTCGACATCTTCCCTCTCTACCACCCTCACCGTAACTTCCCACTTCTTCATTTGTGGCCGCCTCGAGCGTACCACGCGCCCGCACCGCGCACATTAAGCGTCTTGACAATACCTTCACTGACGATGCCCTCACCGTCGCTCTCTATTCCCGTCACATATCATCACTCTTTACCGATCCTTTGCACGATCGACTTTATAAACACTTTGTTTTAAAAGATATTGTGTCTTAATTTCTTCGTGTTTGAACACATTCGTCACTAAGTATCTGCCATTGGCAGTGCACGAGGTGTCTGTCGTCCGAGATCGTACTTGTGTGTTTACTCTGATGAACGATGCGAGCCGCGCGCGGCGTTTCTCGCTTCGTAGCATCCTAAACTCCTGACATCTCGCGGTAATAAGAATAAATTTTGTTGTTTCATTTAGTTCCATCGATCAACTACTTTGATATCGATGAATATCAAAAAATCCAAACAAAATCCCGCAGATTTGCAAATTTTTCTTTTCATCCTCTATTCTCATAGAGATTCGAATAAATATATATAATATATTTGCAATAATAAATCTTATACATTAATTGTATTATATAAATTATTAAATATAATTATAATTGTTTATCAATTTTTGTTTTTTTTTGTATTAATTTTGTATTTTTGGTTTTATTTGGTATTTTATTTGGTTTTATAAATTTGTTTAGTTTATTTCATTCATTTTATACATATATATAGATCTTATTTTTAATTTCTTCATTTTTTTTTAATTTAAAGAAGAATTTGTTTTTAAAATTTAATATTAAATTATTTTTTATTACTTTTCATATTTTTTTTTAATATCAATTTTATCAATTAAATAATAATTTTAAAAATTTTTCGATAATATAATATATTGTAATATTATATTATGTCATTGAAAATTTATTTTTAAATATTTATTTTTATATTACATATACATATAATATATATATATATAAATATGTAGACACATGTAATGAACAATTTTTATATTAAGTATGAAGGAATATTTAATTAATGTTCTTAAATTCACAAATTTAATAATTTTATTTAAAATTTAAGCTAATAAACTATGTGATAAACTAAATGATGAATATATCTAGCTTAAATTACAATAACTAAAATTCATACTCAATAATATTACATGTATAATTTTTATAATGATAATTTGTATATTGGCATCAAAAGTTACAGTCTATAATGTGATACATGTTTTTATAATATGTCGTAAAACTGAAATTGATATGATGTAAAAATTATTTAAATAATTGTCACGACTTTATGAATTGTAATAACTTTCTAATGTGTAAATAATAACAACATAATATAATATAGCGCGATATTTATGAATTATTTCATTATATTTTCTTTATATATGTGTTAATTTTTTAAGGAGGAAAAAGAAAAAAAGGAGAAAAAAGAAGAAAAAATATGAATAATTGATAAATTTTACGTATAAAAGAAGAAGCTAACACTAAATGCTGTAATTGTACCGCAAAATACTTATGAAATATAATTAATGAATACAAAAATTCAAAATTAAATTACAAACATGTCGCGTTGTACTCATTTTTCATGTAATTCGGTATTTTTATAACGCTAGCCATATATTTAAAACTTTGAATATAGAAGTTTTGATTTCAAATATTAAATATAGATAAATAATTTATTGCCTGTTATACATATATAAATTTATTTTTAAGTATACTAAAACTATAATCCATACACGCCAGTTAAGAGAAATAATATTTTTAGGTATTTAAATGTATATATATCAATGTTTTTCTTTACTGCTTATCTGACGTTTATGAATATTAATTATAAGAATCTATATTATGACAGAATTCTTAATTTTTTATATTATAAATAATAAAATAGATTATTATTTACTCAAGCCTCTGGTATTAATAAATATTTAGATAAAATTCTAATTTCTCTCTCAGAAAAAAATTTTTGAGAAAATTTAGTAAGCAAAAATTAAAAATTATTTATTCTTGTATGTATTATTATTATATATAGTATAATATAGTATGCCAGTGTGTTTCGTAGGTATGAAGTGATTTAATAATTGAATATAATTTAACGATTGAAATATATCTAATAATTTTTCGTTTGTCTTATAATTATTTCAATTCTATTTGGTCGTTACCTCATTTAATGAAATATAAGATATTTTGATATGATAAATTTTTTTAGAATTATATATATATTGCATAAGAACATTGTAAATATTATTTACTAAAATATTATTAAATATATCTAAAAATATCAAAATACAAATCGATCATTTTCAAAAATTTTTTATCTTGCAAAATTTTTGTAAAAATTTAACGTTTAACTAAATTATTTTTAAAAGTATTACTTATCTAATACATTAGACATACTTAAAATATAAATCTAATATGATCTGATGTCATATTTCACAATATTTTTAATTTTAATTATATATTTTTATATATTTCAGCATTTAAGAATTAAAATTCACTATTGAATGTATTTATGATATACACCGGCACACTATGAAAACTTGAATTTTAAAATAAATTTAATAGCATAAAAAGCATAAAAAATAGAACTAAGTTTGAGTATTATTTGCATTCATAGATATATGTTGTTGTTCATAATTTACTGCGGAACGTTGCTTAATATTTCTAACTTATGTCATTACGATATTTTAACATGATTTTTGGTTATTTTTCGTATTAATTAAATATCTAATAAATATACAACGATGTACAGATTTAACGGTATACAGATTTAAACATTCACTAGTTACATGCATGTATAAATATATAATATTTTTTTCTACGCTATACGATACTATCCTATGATATTTTTATGTACAAGAGTAACAGTTTTTTTAATTTTTCTCATTTTGATAAAATTTTTTTTCATACAACAAAATTTGCATAAGTTCATATAAATTTATACATGAAACAAATAAAATGTGTAAAAATTTTAAAAATGTTTTAAATTTTTAAGTTTTATAATAATAAAATTTTTTCGAAAATGAATCTCACAAGTTCCAACAGTTTTATGCTATAATTATGCTTTATATCATATTGAATATATATAGACATTTATAAATATTTTAGAGATCTTTAATGTAAAATTAATTTTTATTAAAGATTTTAAACAAATTGAAATATTTTTTATATTCTAATAAAATTATATTAAAAATATAATTTTTACAGCAATGAAAAATATATGTGAATCTTAATAAAATTTTCCAAATATCATTTTAATTAAAAAATATTATATTTTTATGACTAGAATTATAATAATTAGTATCAATATAGTTAAATAATATCGCCTCTTCATTTTTTTTGAAGATAGAATAATGTCTACTAAAAATGAATAATTGTCATTTAATTTTCTCAATTATTCTTAAGGAACTGCGAGTTAAATATTTATATTTAATATGTTTTTTGTTTATATATCTATTTATCATCAATTTCCTTATTTATGTAATTTGTTGTTTTTTGATAAAAATATATTTTATAAATAAAATATTTATCTCTTAATATTTATCTTTTTTGAGCTCTGTATAATTATCTAAAACTAAAATTTGGGCTACATTATATTATTAATTTCGTTCGAAATTAATTTTATAGAAAGAGAAACAAAGAATTTAAAAAAATAAATTTGTTGAGATAAGTAATTAATTTACTAGTTCTTTTATATTTTGTTATTAATCTGATACTCTTCTTGTTTGTTGCTATAAGTTTATTGTGCCGGTAACAATAGGAACTAAGTTTAAATTTAAAATTAAAAGTCAAACTTCTTAAAAAATATGCGTGACTTGACAGCATTTAAATTATGTTTAAAAGTTATGCAAAATTTAAACTAATATTCTTTTAATTTATCATAAAATAAAAATATAATTTTAACTAAAAAATATTATCTTTAATTTTTATAAAAACGTAATAAAAATATATTTTTTAAAAATAGATATACTTATTATAGTCAAGTCACGGATTTTTTAAAAAAATTACGTACCTACATTCGATTCATTCATTTGTGAAATGTTTCTTTAAAAATATTGTAATTAATTCTCTAAGTGCAATATAAAAATTCTTACTGATACGATATTTGTCTAAACATGCTACTAATCTCCTCCATTGTTTTGTTCTTCGTTTCAGGCACTTTCTTATAAATGAAGAAAACGAAGAATGCTTGTAAAGCGGCGAAAATAATGAATACGTAAGCACCTAGTGCTTCTTGCAACGGTAGGAATCCGATACTGACGATAAAATTTGCCGTCCAATTAACTGCTATAGCAACGGATGTTGCTGCAGGTCTTGCAGATTGATTAAACAATTCAGATACTAAAAACCAAGGTATGCTACCTGGTCCAGTTGCAAACAGAACTACGAACATGATTACCAATACGATTGAGAAATAAGCTGCTGCACGAGATGTTTCCTAGAAAAGAAAAAAAAATATATTGCATATTTTAAAAGTTTTTATAGCATTCTTTTGTTTTCAACAATTCATTAATTCATTCATAACAATATACTTACTGCAAAAGCAAGACAAATAGCGAGTAAGGCAGTATCGATAAACATTCCAGAAAATCCAATTAACATCAATGTTTTTCTTCCAGCTCTTTCAACAAGTATTAAAGAAATAAAAGTCATAAGAACATTCATTGCTCCAACACCTAATGTTGCATTTTGAGCCGCATTTTTATCCAACTGTGCCATCATAAAGATTTTCGTCGAAAAGAACATTACAGCATTTATACCAGATAATTGTTGCGCAAACATAACCATAAGCGCAATTATTAATGGAATTCTAAGAGTAGAATTTACAAATAATTCTTTCAATGTAACCTTTGGCACAAGTTTTACTGATTCATATTCCGTCCTCATTTCTTCCATTTCATCATGAACTTCGATCGTGCCACGTAACCAAGCTAAAGCTGCAATAAATAATATTTTCGTTATCAATAAATGTTTCGCTCTAATAATATAATATATGTTTGTTTACGTTGAAAACAATTGATTATATAAACTATTTTAAGATGACATATAATTTTAAGAAAGCGATTAGCGGAATATTAAAAACTTACCTCTCTGAGCTTCCATATCCTTTCCTCTAGTGACCAACAAATATTTCGGGCTTTCGGGACAGAATGGAAGAGCAATTACTTGGAAGATTGCAGGCACAATCGTCAAGCATAAAAGAAGAGGCCATTGTTCGGCCGTACCCAAAATTTGTTCTAATCCAAGAATTTGTGATACCAAAATAGACATAGTGATAACTAATTGATAAACCGTTCCAACAGCTCCTCGTAGATGAATAGGTGATATTTCAGATAAATACATAGGCGCCAGACCAGCGTTTAATCCTGCATTAATACCAATCAGAAATCTTCCTATAATTATCATTTCATAACTCTTTGCTGTTTTGGCGCAGCCTTCGAAAATTACTGTCAAGAGAACTAGGATGTTGTTTATTAACAGACCACCCTTTCTACCAAAACGATCGGCTATCGAACCCACCAGAGAACCACCGATCATTCCGCCTACACAAAATATCGACACCGCTATTGACCATATCATAGTCACTTCTGATTGTTTTGTTACTTGACCGGTACGGTTCATCTTCAAGTCACTGATCCAATCTTCAATAAGCTGTAATACACGATATATTTATATCATTTTTTTCCATTTCTAATTATAAATATAGTCGAATGTATAAAATTAATCAAGAAAATTTGATGATGGAAATAATTGTTAATAAATTTTAATTAAAATTATCACCATATGTTTATATGTTTAAATTTTACATATAAATTTTTATATATCTTTATAATCTATAGATTATTTAATTAACAATTAAAATTAATATTTAAAATCGTATGTATAAAATGAATTTGTAAAAAAAACTTGCTAATTATAGATAGATAAAAATAAATGGATAATACATAATAATTTAAAATTAATGTTAGTATTATTATCTTTTGTTATAATTATTTCTTTACTAATTTCTTTACTAATTTCTTTACTAATTAATTATATTAATAATATTTATATTATTTTTTTTATTAAGTTTTCATCTTTTATTAAGGTTTTAATCTTTGTTAAAATTTAAGATTCTCATTTTGTTGATTCTCAAATTGTTAAAAAATCCATTCAATCCAATTTCGCTTAGAAGAAGATTATCTAACAAATTCCAGAAATTTCCAAGATTCAAATCCAAGCTTTTGTCACATATTTGTGTATTATGTTAATGATTAGATTTCGTGCATTATAATTAAAGTTACAGAGATTTTTTTTCTAGAAGAAAACTAGATCATAGATTCAGTAATGAAATTAAAAATATTAATAATCAATAATAAATAGAAATTTTAAAGAGTAAAAATGATTTCAAATTAGAAATTCATTTTTCAACATAACAGCAATTCAAATATGTTACTATGTTAAAAAAAACGATATGTTAAAAAAATATGAAATTTTTAACGATTAATGAATTACGCAAATAGATGGAAAAAGATTCAAATTTTATTTCTATTGAAAATTTAGGGATTTTATCGAATTTTAATCTTTTAGATAAATGAAAAAATAGAATGAATTTTTTTAATCTCGAGAATTGATCTTGAGACTAATTATTTTTTTAAATGATTTAAAATATTAATATTAAAGTATAGAAGTATTGATTGTCCGATGATACAAGTCCGAGAATTTTATTTTTGAAATCATTATATTTTTAAAAAAACAAATCAAATAATCACGATTTCAATTATTAAATATATTTTTTTTTTTACTTTTGTAATGACGTCATTTGCTACAATCATTTATTGTATTTAATATATTCAATATTGATTATGTGGCGCTTGTAAAAATGAACTTAACATACAAAAAGATACGTATTAAAATCTAAGATAACTAAAAAAACATTATATAAGCAAATGCTTAATTATTATTATTCTATGTATGTAAAATATTTATATAAAAATATATAAATATAAAATATTTTTAAATATATATTAAAAATATAATTAATTTTATACTTAAACCAGAGTTTACAAGTAAATGACTAATTATTTAAATATAAAAATTAATTATTATTTATTTTAAGAATTCTAAATAAGTAACCACTTATTGTGAACAAGTAAAAATTTTGTTTAGTAATTTATGAATAAATATCATTACAAAGTAGCTTCATGTCGATATTGTATATGAGAAAAAATGCTGATAATGTATCTTATGAAATACCTGCTGAGGTGCATTGACGACACCAGTATTGTATCCATGTTGAAATGATGATCCAAGTGCAGCAGCTGCAATAGCAAATGCTAATCGTCCGTTTAAACCCTGCAATAAAGATAATTACTTTTTAGTCGATCGTTTTCTTATTCATCAATGTCAGACAATAAACTTGTTAAAAAAATTTTTTTTTAACTGGTTAAAAAGAAATATGTATCTTACCACTTATTATAAAAAAGAATTAATAAATTTTAATAAAAATCTTAAAATTTATATTTAAAAAGCTTTATTTTTAACTAGCTAAAAAAATTATATAGCTAGCTTAAATAAATTATATCTTTTGATTATATTTCAAATTATTTTAAACAAATATCAGAATAAAAATCTTTATAAAATCTTAATCCGGTTAAAATTTTTATTCATATTCAATTTTTTTAAATAATTAATTTTATTAAAAATTTAAGAACTAAAAAAATTAACTGTAATTAAATTGTAAACAATATTATAGAAAAATAAATATTGGAGCATTTAAAAAAATAGAAAATTTATTTTTAATATTTTATTTCCCTTTTTTGTTGGCTGAATTTTTTTTAAAAATAAAAAGATCATACTACACATTAATTATATAATTAATTGATAAATTTAAGATTTGTTTGCATCTTACCGGTCTTCCAAATAAAGGTCGTAATTTAAATCCAACCGTTCTTAGAGTCATCGAGAAATTATAATTGATTTACCAATGAATTGAATAAGCTCGTAGCGATAAGCGATTAAAATGTTCTAACTCGAATAGTTTATGGAAAATATAGACTTATACAAGCTCCCGCTGTTTTCAAGCACGTGTCAAAGACCACTCTGCGGGTCGGTACCCCCGCCACGCATTTTTATATCGCTTCTATCTGTGACACACAAACATGCTAAGCAAACTATTGTACGTGACACGCATACGTACTTCAAGAAAGCTTACCAGTCAGTGTTTCTCAACTAAATTTACGTATTGTATTTCATTAACATATTTCCTATTTAATTTTATTTTATTATCATTCATTTTATTATTCATTATTCATCGATTATTCCAAAAATATAATTGAAAATTGTAATAATAAAAACTATAATTAATAATTTAAATTATATTATAACTTATTGTTTATATATATCAATAGTTTTTTTATTTTACTATACGATAAAGTTCACTTTCACTTGTATTTTGTCCACTATTTTTTTGTTAAATCTATGTATGTAAAACAGAATATAAATAGATTACGTATTGTATCAAAAATTTGTATTTATGAAAAAAAAAATAATAAACCGGAAACAAATAGTTAACAGAATATTTACCAAGTTTGATGAAAATATAATATATGAATGTCACACGGTTATTTTATGAATATATATTGTTACTATAGGAGCATTGCCACAATTCATTTTTGTTTCTTTTTATTCGGTCTTTAACCGATTATTAAACTAACTCTACTATTCGGAATATAGCCAAGATTTTGTTGCAATCAGTCCAAAAAGTTTAAATGAACAATATAAATATATAATAAATATCGATTTAGAAATAAATTACAAGTAAATTGTATTTTGTATTTTTTTCAATAACCTATAATTTTATTTTTAAGTTTTTAAAAATTAAAAATTTCAGATTTATCTAACTTTGTTTCTATTCATTAAATATTTTATCGTGATATAAAACTTATGTTTTATTTGATTTGATTAAATTTACAGATTTTATTTCAAAAAAATGATACCAATGCGAATGAAATTGCTTCGTAAGCATATTCCATGCAATAGTGTAATTGTGTTTATTTACATCCATGTACCGGAATTAGTTTCTATATATATATATATAATACTGTTGACGTATTAGGAAACGAATGTTGTTTGCAATAATGGTGAAAAATATAATACCAATTACGAAATTTAATTCCATTATATATTAGAATAAAATTTCCGGAACGAACATATTACAAGTTAGAAAGAAGATGTGAAAATTTCCCGTTCTACAAACTTTTGTTGGCATTGGTTGAAACAGAGGTGTGTCTATCCCAAGTAACGCCGATTGGTTCGCGTTGCCAAGCCTCTTCTACACCGGTCTCGTGGCATACACAAGTTCAAGCATTCTAATTATAGCTACTAGATGACAAACGCAAACGTTTTATCAAAATTTTCGATCTATCAATTTGTTTGATCATGTTTCTAAGAATTTAAGATATTTCTTAATAACTACTTTAATTTCTCTATATTATAAGTACCGTATAAAATATTTAAATCACTTATATAATAACATATTCTTAATCAAATCATACATATGTATAAGTAATAATGTCAAATAAAACAGAATTTTTATATAAGTTTAGAAATTATTATAATGCTTTATCATTATCAAATAAAATATACAAAATAAAGAAACAAATAAAAAAAACTCGTTTTATATTTTTAAATAAAATATAAAAATTACTTATATGAGCACAAATAAATTTTTCCATTAGAGAAAATTTATCGAATTATATAATATATTTTACTTTAAAGAATATTATTTATTTTATATTTCATATTATACGACGAATTTTTCCAACCGAAAATATAAGAATAACGTTATTTTCGTTCAAATAAAAATAACTTGGATGGTATGCTGGATTTTTTGATTCTTAACTAAGTAGATTATTCAATAAACAAACTTTTCATTTTTTTTTAAATAAAAGTTTTATAAAAATTTAAAAAACTCAGTTATTTTTTATTATTATAACAGGATTAATTTCCTAAATTTTTACATGAGATAGATTGTTTTTTGATCAAATATTATAAAGTTATGTCTGTTTAAACTAAATAGATCATAATATATGGATACTTTTTTCGGATATTGTATATTCGTATCTTCAAAATTATAAAATAAAAATTTTGAAATATTGTTCATGTGTTAATCTTATTTACAATCGTCTTATTTGACTTTTATTTATGCATAGCTAATATGTATAATACGTAGAATATTGCGATTTTACATACGTTATTAGTTTGCGTCATTCTTTGTACAACGAAAAAGAACTGTAATTTCTGATTTTTTAAATTCAATAATTTATATTTTAAAAATGCATAGATACAATTTTTTAATAAGTAAATTTTAATAAAAATTAAAAAAGAATTTATTAAATAATGTTTCTATCTTTAAACATGTAGTTTAAAATTTTTTTGATTTTTTTAATTTTTTTTTATAATAAGACATTCCTTATCATTATCATATATGCATATAATAATTTATATTCATTTTTTTGTTTTTTGATTATTTATATTTATATTTGTTTATTCAATATGATATTTTAATGATAATCAAATTTATAAAGTATATGCAAAATATAATTATAAAAAAGAAAGAACACTTTCATTATATTCAATCACAATATTTTTGATAGATGTAACTAGAAAATCATTATTGCAATAAAGTCACCTATATGTATCACAACTTCAGTAGATATATAGGTTGGTTATTCAGTACAACCTTGGCTTAACGCAAGTCTTGACATAACATGTATTTCCAGATTAATATCATCTCTTATTAATTTCCTTTCACTCTCAAAGGAATTTTACTTGCATTAATTTATGAGATAATATGAGATACAGAGCATCGATGTCGGCAGAACAATAATATTGTCCAACAAAAGAACAGATCAATGCTTTTAACAATTTTCATGTTCTTACTCGTTCATTTGTACAATTGCTATATTTCATATTAAAAAAAAAAAAAAAAAAAAAAAAAAAAAAAAAAAA